GCCGCAAAGGAGATAGAGGAGTCCTAAAACGTTATTCGAATAAAAGGAAAGGCCAGTGGGCATAGCCCTTGGCGGGGGGTCTCTCAAATTGCTGGTGGACACAGCCCCTTGCTGGTGGACACAGCTGCCTTTTATCCTCATTTCCTGATGGAAGAAGCCCTCTCCTTTTCCCCATTGGCCAAGCTACTCAGGCTTCCCAGACATTTGGGCCCGCCTAACGTATATTGCTCCTTGATATATTGCTCCTCCTCGCTGGTCACGCATGCCATGTCTAATTAAAGCAACTTTATGCCTCCTCTGAGTGTAAAAGTCAATATTCATTAGCGCATTACCCTTGCACCTACTCTGCTAAGGTTCATTCTGGATCATTTGTAGAGGAGGAGCTGTCTGCCCCGCTGCTGCGTTTCCCCGGTGCGGCCAGCTCCATCCGCACGCGCGCGTAGAGCGCAGCCTCCCTGCCCGTCCTCCCTAGTCCCGCTCTTTAAGGAATGTGCGGTAACTCCCTGACTTGAAAAGACACCGGCTCCTTTCTCCCGCTCAAGCTGTAGATGGCTAAAACTAGGTGAAATGCTTTCTGTTTGAAGTGACCGAACCAAGAGGAGAAAGTGGAGAGAACAGAATCGTTAAGGTGGAAGGGACCTTTGCRGATCATCTAGTCCACCCTCCCTGCACACGCAGGGTCACCTCGGGCATGCTGACAGATGATCAGTTTTTATCTTTAGATCAATATTAAGTAACAAAATGGGGAGGAAAGGAGGAAGAAGGGATGGAAAAAAAGCATTTCTAGAGTATGTTGAATTAGAATTAAAATATCTTTTTTTTTTTTCCTTCCAATTTCATAGATGCTGTGAAAACTGTTTGAGGAAGGTAGAAGAGCTGTAGGCTATATAGGTAGATGGATCCTTTGACATGAGCAAATAGTACATTTTTAAATTAGAGAAAAGAGGACCACCTGGTGGGGTAATTTTTAATTTCTATTTATAGACATGTAATTCAGTAACAAATCAGTGTCCTGTGTGGCGTATTTCTCCCTCAGGATAGTGCTTGGGAGCAAGTCATTTTTAGATGTTGTCCTCAAAGCTACGCTTAAATTAGCATAGAAAGTATGTTTAGCATTTTGCTAGAACATGCAGTTCTTTTATTTATTTATCTGTTTATTGGAAAAAAAGATAATTCCTTTTTCACCCCTTTCTTACTTGGGGATCTGATATTCTGTTTAGTTTGAGTGTTTTCTGTTTCCTTTTTTTTTTTTTTTTTCCTTTTTGTACACTACCAATCTATCCAGATTACAAAAATAGTTAATTCTACCGTTAATGTTGCATGAGAATGATAGGCTTGCTTTTTCAGTCTTTTAAGGATTGGCTGTATTGCTTCCTGCCTTTTCTTTGGGGAGAAGACAGAGAGAGTAAATATGTTTTTGACTRTTCAGTTAATTCATTAAAGGTATCTGCTGCTTCCTTTCAATGCCAGGCAGGAGTAGCAGCAAAATAGAATTAAAAAACCCTAACTCCTCCCTCCAAAAAGGAAAAAAAAAAAACCTAAAAAAAACAAAAGCTAAACAAAGGAACCAAAAAACCCACAGAAAAAAACACACAGAAAAAGTTTACTGCAGACCCTCCGAGTGTTTTCATCTTCGCAGTACTCCTCCTCCATCTCTGCTCATCATCTGTCTTTTGACTCAAACACCTCTTTCCAGGAATTGCAACCTCTTATTGTTGCATTAATCCTGTAGCTGAGCATTGCAGTGATGGCTGGGAGGGTAGGTAGCGGGTATGGGTTTTTCCGTCGTGGACTTGAAATACAAACTGAATTTTCTAGTTGGGCTTCATTTTGGAATAAATTTTAATAGTGAACCTGTTATTTGGGAATAGGGCATGAGAATGAAGCATTTGTCCCTAGTGATCCATATGTATATTTACTTGCATTATGCACTCTTGCTCTTTATGTTCCCCTGAACACTGAAATACAGTTTGTTAAGTGATTTCTTACTGGAAAAACAATTTTCTCTGAAAAAAAAAGTAAAACTTATTGCACTGAAAGACTGCTACTCTGTTGAAAGAATAATATTCAGAAGATGGTCTGGCAACAGGATTAAACCTGTTTCATTGTAGACTTTTAACATATATTTGGTTACACATCATCTTTGTTTTTTTCTGGAACAAGTTTTGCCCACGCAAATAAGTTAAAGCTTGGTCAACACTGGGAAAACCAGTACAATGAAATCRCAATTTAAAAGGAGAATGGTGTATTACAGAATCACCTACAGAATGGTTGAGGTTGGAGGGAGCCTCTGGAGATCATCTTTGGTGGACATTATCCTCTTTACACCTTCCTATATTGTCTGTCTGCGTTCCTGGGCATCCTCTAACTTTTTTTTTCTTTTAAATCTTCCTTGTGTGTGTGATCTTGCTTCTAGTCTTAAATGTCTTATATCTTGTTACTAGCATTTTGGTTGCTTTAAAGCAATCAGAGTATTTCTCTGCCTGAAAGGAAACGTAATTGTAAATTAATCTTCTTGGCTTTTGTGTTTTCACTACGTGAAATACTCTGTTGTGCTTRACTACCTTTTTTTTAGCTACTGTAGTTGTCAGGTTAGTTCAGCGTTACATGGACCTGGGAGCAAAGCTGAATGCACCGTTCCTGGTGATTGACAGTCGGAGTTATCGAATCCTAAGGGCAGCCATGGTGGATCCTAGGAAGGCTCCGTTAGGCCTGGTGCCTTGGCTCTGACAGCAGCAAGTAGAGGTTGTTGGGGACACAGAAGGGCAGCGTGTGAGGGGCCACCAGAGGGTAGGAGGGATTCTTCTGGATTCTGGGAATCCGCTCTTCTCAAGTGGCCTTCCACAAGATCCCTGGCAAGGGGAGATGATTGAAAAGTGTATGAAGCAGTGGGTGTTCATGGTTTGGATAACCTGAAAGGAGAATAAYGAGAGAGTTGTGATGCCATCCGATTAAAATTCAGAGAACTTTGTAGAGTATATGGGGGGCAGCATAGTCCATAGCACCTAAGTATGTAAAATTCTGGGTACTAAGGCTTTTGTTCAAAGACTCAATTTGCCTGATGGACTCTTCTTGCGTCGTCTTCAGAAGCAAAGGGAGCAATTGAGATGCAAATGGAGGACCAAGGGTGAAATAGGTGATTMCTCTGTCAGTTTGTTTTAAAAAACTTTTTTTTTTGTGCTAGCTTTCTAAAAATGAGTTAATTTCAATGAATTTGTTGATTCTTATTTTTATTGTGTTAGATGAATATATTGATATTTTAATATTCTTTATGCTTAGGAAAAAAATGAAATTGTTTAAGCCTGAACTGATTTCTGTTAAATAATTCTCACAGGTAAACACAATTTGCTGGAATGATACAGGAGAATATATTTTATCTGGTTCAGATGATACCAACCTGGTAATTACTAATCCTTACAGCAGAAAGGTAAGTTTGTTTCTGGATACTCAGTGTGTTTCAAATAAGACTCGTTATTATTTTCTAAAAGTGACTATTATCTGACAGAGATAGTATCAGGCACCTTATAGTATTCTACAGAAAAGAATAAAATCTCACAATGCCTTAAAATGTTAATATTATTATCCCTTGTGCCATAGGTAGTACTCTGTTTTACAGGATGGGCTCTGTCCCAAAAGCAACAAAGCCTCACAACAGATTAGTATCAGAATGAGTAACAGGAATCAGTAATTCTTGTGAAATTTGTAATGAGATAARTTACCTTCTCTTTCATTTTAACTTTAAAATATTTTACTGTCTTTTACCTTGTGTAATTTTGAGCTGTTTTTATAGGTAAAACTATTGAAATGAGATGTCAGTCTGAGTTAAAATACCTTAATATTTGAAATGACACTGCCTTGTGAGTGCACAATGTGGAGGGAGAAGAGTTTGTACTAAAATAGGGGAAGCAGGCTTGTGGAGGAAAGTGTTGTAGAGATCTCTGCTCTTCTGTTTTTTGCACTAAACTGGGTTGTGTTGCAGCAAAAGGACTTCACGTATTGTCAGCTAGCCGCTATCATGTAGTAGCAGGATTTCTAGTGCTTGCTCTTTAAAGAGCTGCTGATAGTTTGTTAGAAGACCTTCTGAAATCTGTCCTTCAGTTCTGGGAATCCTAGGCACTGCTATTCCAGGGCRCCTCTTCCGCACTGAGACTAAGCCCTTAAGAGGTGTGGAAAATTAAAATATAGAAGGGGGTTCCAAAATGCGTGTTCGCTATCGTGTAGGAGTTTGAAAAGCTACAGAGTCAGAAATACTTGCTTTGTGTGAAGAGTGGAGATGGGAGAGTAATAGCAATCTGGGCTGTTGCCTGTGCTGGTAGGTAAGTCTTTTTTCCCCACTTCTTCAAATGATCTACAGCTTCCAAACAGCATTGGTTCCTTTCTGTTATTGGTTGCAGTCTGACAAAGCTCTGATTAGTTTTATCAGGCTGGGGTTTCTGTTGGACTGTTGGTTCACCTGAGCAAGACAAGGCATCCAAGCAGCTGGGGAATGGAGGATGGCAATATTCCAGAGTGAATGTTGTTGGAGAGACTCATGGTTTTTAAAAAAATGTAAAATTAAATGTATTTTATACTAGTTATTGTGTATGATTTATTTTATCCTATCAGTATATATCAGTATAAAATATTTTTGGTGGAAGTATTTACTCATTGTAAAATTATAATAATATTTTAATAGAAGTGCTAACTTAAGCTTCATGCATCTGGATGAAGAGTTCGGGATTTTCTTCCTGTGTACTATTACTGCAGTTAAGTAAGAATCTAGGAGATGTGTTGTTTTGCAAAAGTCACACTCAWAAGAGTTATTTTTGCTTTCTGCATTTTAGTAACAGGAGAACAGATAGATACTTCWTCATGTGCAAATGCAGTTATAAAACAGTGGGTGCTTAGGTGCAAGAAGACTTGACAGCATGTGTTGTTAATGAAATATGAGAGATGGGACTTTTTGTTTGTTTTTGTTTTAATGTTTGCTATTCAGAATTTTGTTAGCTTATTTCCTCTGATTTGAGTAACAGAAGAAAAAGAGAACAAACTGGTACTGGTACCAGAACTCTGCTGTAATKCTGTTGCCTTTGCTGATCCCTTCATCGCCACATTTTCTGTTATGAGCAAACCTGGCTAGAGCTAAAATAGATTTCAGCAATTAACATAATGTTCTGTATTAGTAAAATAACCTATTTTATGAGAAGTATGAGGTCTTCAAAACCCGCCTGGATGCCACCCTGTGCCACATGCTCTAGGTGTGCCTGCTTGAGCAGGAAGGTTGGACTAGATGATCTGTAGAGGTCCCTTCCAACCTTAAATATTCTGAAATATTCTAAATAAATATTCTGAAAAGTATCTAAACTTGCTTAATTCTGAATTTACTTGAGGTTTATGTAACCTCMGTTTGTGACCTAAGTGTTCCTAACTTTTAAATCCGCCCTTGTGGGCATGCTGGCTCCTAGACTAATGTTTTACTTTGATAATCCTGACATGATATGTAACTAACCTTTTTAGAATTAAAATTCTTTAGCCTGTTGCATTCTAGCTCTTTCATTTGCAGACCCCTTTGGGAAAGTGGCCAAGTCTGTGTGTGTTGTGGAGCCACTTTTTCGATATGGCAAATTTATTCTAAGAATAGCCTCTGTTAATATTGAACTATATATTTCAAGCAACCCGTGTTTAACTGAAGCTGAGTATTATTTTCCCATTTTTGTTTTGATTAATCTGATAAAGCTTTTCTTGTTTTCTTTTTAGGTTTTAACCACCATTCGCTCAGGACACAGGGCAAATATTTTTAGCGCAAAATTCTTGCCATGCACCAATGACAAACAGATTGTGTCTTGCTCTGGAGATGGAGTCATTTTTTACACTAATGTTGAACAAGATGCGGAGACTAACAGGCAATGCCAGTATACGTGCCACTATGGAACTACCTATGAGGTAACTTACAAAAGGAGAAGATAACTTGAAAGATGGTTGCAATGCCTATTTTATTGTGCTGCTGTCGAGGATTTTAATCAGACAAGGGAATTTTTATTACTGTGCTTCACAAAAATTAAAAGATTTTTTTTTTAAGTTTTGGTTTTTTGAGAGAATTGGTTTAAAAAGAGAAAGACTTTATCTAAATGAAAGATTTTTTTGAAGATGAGAGTTATTGAGAGCATTTCTTTGAAAATAAAATAGCTGGATAAACTTTCACCAAATCCTGTGTGTAATAAAAGTGAATAATCTTTTTTTATATTTTATTTAAGTGTAAGTGTAAGTTCAAAAGAAGTGTTTTCAATCTTCCTTCAGAAGTTTTGCTCATTTTGCTTATGCTTATTGGTAGGTGAAAAAGCAAAGAACTTAAGCACTTAAGGTGAACGTCTTTTTCATTTTTCTTCTTAATGAATGAATGAAAGTAAAATCTGCTGATTGTAAAACTTACTATGCTTAAAATAGGATTGATGCATTTTTTTCCTTAAGTTATAGATGATCTTTTTGAGGCTATGTTTTTAGCACACGTTACATGCACACAGGAAAACACATATGTTGCTTTTGTAGCTACTTAGCTCATATTTCATAGCAAGTTTTTAAGTTTTTCTCTTTGTATGTTAAATGAACAGAGATTTTTAGAATACTTTGTTAAAAATGTGAACAAATTTGAGGGCTGAGGGAAGGTAGTATGTGAGGGAAAGAAGATGGCTGAAGCACCAGCAGAACTAATCTCTGAGCATGTAGCAAAAGTATCCCTAAGGTTGTAATTTAGAAGACTCCTCAAAAGCACTTTTTATATGCCAGGTAACTGTAGGTCAGTCAAGCAAACCCCGTGTAGTTCACTCTGGTATTTGTTTTCAGTTTTGCAAAACGTCATTCTGCACTCTAGTTTCTCACTACCTGCTTTTACTTTTGAGGTGTTTTTGTTTTGATTGAGAAGAACTGTTTACTTTGGATAACCTCAATTCTTACGGCCTCCAATTAGTGAAAGGTGACAKAGTTTAAACTTCTGAAGTTTACTATGTGTAGAAAGCTCTGCATTATACTGTGGAGTCTGKCCATTGATTGGATGTTCACTGTATCTCAGCTAATACCAGCCTTTTCATACAAACATCTGGAGGCCAAGATGCTGTTTGCTAAAGATGAAGTGTCCTCAGCTGTGAAGTGTGCTGCATACCGGTAGTTTGTTGTCTTCTGGCTGCCTTGGGGAGTGAGAGCCTCTTTGCTCCTTGGGCTGCAGGCTTGAGGGGTAGACAGGTAATACTCAGCTGGTAGCGCTGTTTGCTGGGCAGCTGCCTCTRAAAAGTTTCTGAGGTTGAGAACAGGGAGAAGGTAACGGGTCCTGCCCTGAGGAGACCTTCAGGCAGTGACTGGAGTATTATTACAGCAGTGAAGTCTGGAGTCATGGAGTAAGCTGTTCTGAGTACCCAGAAAGAAAGCAAGAAGGAGTTTGAGGAGATGTAAATATTGCCTAAGTGACTCTTTGGCAGTCAGTTAGTTTTTGCTCTCTGAGATTGGATTGACCATCTGTTTGGTGGATTATGAAATATGGAGTATGAAAAATATTTGGTGGATTGGGTGAAGTGACTGATGTCAGGTGGTACTGCAAACCAACAATCAAACTGGAAGAATTCAATGAAAGAGATTGGCAGTTGTGCCTGTGGGTCAGCATTAGTATAACATTGGGTAGAACATAGCACTATAACTTTAATATGAGATCTTCGTCCTTTTTTTGCCAGTTGTTGCCGTCAGTAACCATGATATGCACATTGCCAACCTAGATGTGCACATTGCCAACCTAGATGACTAGGTGACTAGATATGCACATTGTCAACCTAGATGACTAGGTGTTAAGTGTAAATTTGTGAGGTAGAATGAATTAAACTTGTCACAAGTGACAATGAAATTGAAGAAAAATTAAATTTTTAAAAAAATGGGGAGCAAAACAAACTAGGAAATCAAATTTTATTGTCTCCAATTACTCTTACGTATAGGAATCTCCCTCCATTTCTCAATTTTAATGTTTATAAAATAGTTTGTATATTTTTAAATACCATACGTATTTGCAATTGCACATGCCAGTCTATAGGTACTGCATGTTTATATGCATATTGTGAAATAGTAATAGCTTGGAAAAAAAATAAAACATGCCTCCTTAAAATAAGAGTTTACTGTGTTATGTTGTGTTCAATGGCATTCTCAGGACAAAAGAAAAGGTTTACAGTGAGATCCTGTCGGAAACCTCCGTGGTATGAAGAAAGCTGAGATCAGGGAAATGAAGCAACATAATGCTCCCTTGAAAGGGAGCCACAAACTGAAGCACCAGAAGTTCCACAGGAAGTTAAGGAAAAATTTCTTACCAGTGAGGGTGCCAGAGCCCTGGCACAGGCTGCCCAGGGAGGCTGTGGAGTCTCCTCCTCTGGAGATCTTCAAAACCCGCTTAGATGCAGCCCTGTGCCCTGTGCTCTGGGTGTCCCTGTATGAGCAGGGGGGGCTGGACTAGATGACCTCTGAGGTTCCTTCCAACCTTAAGGATTCTGTGATTCTATGAAAAGCAGGAAAATCAATGATTTATGGTTCCCACCAGCAGTCTCGGATCCGTAACTGCTTCAAAGGGCCTATCTTGAATTCAAATGATGTAATGATCCACGGGAATGAATGCCATCTAGTATTTTGATGTTAATTCAGTTTTCTGAAGATTGTCRCTTGTGACTGTTACTGTCCTATATTACTTCATAGAAAAAAAMCCCTGAAAACGAATAGTAGTAAATGCATGTTGCATATTACAAGACAGAGAAGGTATTTGCAAGATTTGACCTTTATAAATACTACTTATTTCATCTTGTACACTTTTTGTTTTAATTTCAGTAGTTCTAACTTTTTCTTGAAAATAAATGTCAGATACTTTCTTCATTTCAGTAGAAAACCTGATGTGAGTAATAATAACTTTATTTAGGTAAAGATGCTGCTGATGTCTTTACATCAAAATATTGATGCTTTTATTTCCAAAATAATGGAATAATGGTGTTTSTAGTAGTATTAATATTTATTTATTTATTTTTGCAGATTATGACAGTACCAAATGATCCCTATACTTTCCTCTCTTGTGGTGAAGATGGCACTGTAAGATGGTTTGATACTCGAATCAAAACAAGTTGCACAAAGGAAGATTGTAAAGATGTAAGAGTGAAATCTTTTAATAAAGATGACCTAAATGTAGAGCTGTACATCATACAAACATAGGATTTGAATCCTGGTAAGGCTTTTAGAAATAATAGATTTCAGGGTCGTTGTTGGAGATGACAACATATTTCCCAAGAACAAAAAAAAAAGTTTGGGGATTCTTTTTTTAATAAATTCTTTTTAAAGAAAAGTCTCTGCAGTTTTATGAATTTTGGCTTGATGCTTCATATGTGATAGAAAAGATTTCACCTTGAAATTGAACCTATTAGTTTGGTTTACATTAATTACTATAGAGTGTGAATTGGAGGCAAAAAACAATCTTAAATTTGAAAACCTACTGCAGCCTTGCACTTCTGAGCATTCTTTGTCCCTCCATACAACAATAAGAAAATACTTGGTAATGAATTATGCTAGATCACATTAATTATTTGCACTGTTTCCTAGAAGGTTAAGTATTAGTTTTGTCCACCATGCTTGGAATTCAGGAGCAATATGAATTATGCATGCTGTATTCTTGATTAATTTTTTTCTGCTTTATGCACATTTCCTAGTTCTAGGAATTTCTTTGCCCTCTAATTACAGTAAATTCAGCTATCCAATTACCTGCCCACAAACCAAATCTGTTCTAATCCTTTAAGTTAGTTAAGACTGTTCCTGTGTATTTGCTGCTCTGCCTGCTCAACAGCTATCTATGTTTGCATAAGAAAATGGTGTGTGCAAGCCAGTTTTTAAATCTGTTCCTCTTGCTTTATCTCTTCATGTATGGTCGTTGGTTTTTTTTTTTTCCCTGTTGTTGCCTGTTTTGCTTTTTT